AATAATTTAAGGAAATAATTTAAGGCACTGTGGTGACAACTATTATGTTAGATTCTCTGGTGGTGAAACCCAATGATGTTTGAATTGCTCGGTTCTGCCCTGCATTGTTCTATTACAATATCCTCACTTATCTCAATCTTCCCCCTATTTTTAAATTAATCTATTTTCTCTCATTTTTTTAATTAAGGGAAAACTAAATTAAAGAATAACGGGACATATTATAGTAACTTTTTTGTTGTCCTATTAACCTTAATTGAACCCTAGTATTGCTCTCCCCATCTTGTTCTGTCTGATTATTATATATTCTATTTTGTTTGATAGTATCAAGTTTGAGGATACAGGCAATCGCTTTGAAGGCAAAAACATATACTATGATGCCCAATATGGATTGACTATCATCCTTTTTTTTTTTTTTTTTGAAGTCCTGTAAGGTCTTCAATGTAGATTTTATTGGTTTTGTTCCATATTGTTTTGATCAATTCTATTATACCTGATGATATAGACTACTCAGTTTGAAAATAGCAAGAGGCACAATCGTAACCACTTTTGATCATCTGCTATTCTATTTTTGCATCACGTGCTATGCCCACCCTTCTGTTCTAACTGACTCTGTTTTGCTTAGTCACATTTGTTTTTACTCTCTTCAAAAAAGTAATAAGAACTGTAAGAGTAATAAAACCCTAAAAGTCTAATTGTTACTGTAAAAAAGAGAGGAAAGTAAGGTGAACTAAGGGATATAACCGCAGGTATGTTCGAGAGTGTAGGATGGAAAACCATATAACTGAGCTTTTGTTGGATCATTGAATGGAACTGTCTCCAATTCCACTGTATGAGTGTTCACTTTATATGCTTTAATTTAGTGATGTGGACGACTGTTTCTGGGAAGATAAGGTGTAGCCTGTAAAAAAAAACAAAAAAAGGATTGTATTTCTAGAACTCTAGTGGTACAATATGCTGTATTAAATTTTACCTTCTTACAGATGCAGCAGACATATGAATCCATCCAGATATTGGTGTCTGCAAACAGCACCACTGTAACTCATATCTGAACATGTGGAAATGGCAGAGTCATTGGGTGATTTATAGAGGATAGCAAATTTTTGAGATGCAAAAGAGAAAATCTTCAATTTGCTTAAACATAGGTTAAAATACATTAATGTGGCTCTAAATGCACTCCTAGTAACCACCCAGAAGGAATTTAGAAATATTATTGGGACCTAAAGTTGAAAAACATCCCTTTGGAGAGTTAGTGAGCTTCTGGTTATTGAGGTAAAAAATAAAAAATGCAGATTTTATAAATAATAAATATATGAAGTTAATGATATTTGCAAATACTGTGCTGAAGGTGCATCTTTGTTATTTGGTACTTACAATAAAAAACAGAGGAAAAAAGAACCAGAAAGCAATGCATTTTAATTAAACCAAACTACAAGATAAACATTTGGAGAATTCCAAGCCCCCCATCCATCTATCTATCTATCTATCTATCTATCTATCTATCTATCTAATAAAAAGATGGAAAAATCTTGAGAGTGACTCAGGGTGAAGTGTATTAGAGGAGAAAATTCAGAGTGAGTCTGCACATGTGGGACAGGAAAAGTGATCCAAAATCTGGACTGATGAGCAAGTTGACAGGTGCCATTCCTGGATTATATATGGACTACTGCAATGCTCCACAAGGGCATTACTACTCTTAAAATGATGTTGCTCTTGTCTTTACAGAGCAGAGATTGACTAACTGTGTTTTTGGCAAGTTTACTCCTAAATCTAGTAAGTAGGATGGAAATTGTACACCAGTGTTGGGGACTAAGTACTCTAGAAATTCCTCCTAAACTCAGAGCATGGATGTTGGGAAGACACCAAGACTACTAAGAGTGTGAGATGAGGCCAATGGTTTTACTGCCTTATCAGGAAATAAGGCCCATTTTAACTTCTCAGGACTGAGAAGTCCTTCCCAGGACCTTTATACTGAGCTATCTCCCCAGATGCATTTTTTATTTGCAGACTTGTTTTCACTATATTTCCAAGTTGCCAAGCCTGGGCTTAAGTTGCAATGCCTCAGGTTCCCAAAATGCTTCAATCTCCTGAAATCACCACTGTGCCTATGTCTTAACATATTATTTTAAAAAGATGAAATATTAAAATAAGAGAAGCTGGAACTACATTGTAGTAATTAATCAGGGATATTCTACCTCAGGATCAAGTGCCCAGAAATGCCAACTGCCTCACTGTATATTCCCAATAATGGAGAATAATACATTATACACATAAAAACTTACAAATATAACATTGTATATATATTTATGATTTTGGAATATATTGAAAAATGTATCTATAACAGTTACAGTGCTACTAAATATAGAAATGGGCATAATAACCAGGGTGTAATCAGCATCTTCTGAATGTGTTGTCTCTCTTCATATCTCATCCTGCCTTGCACCTCACCTTCTTGTGAGGTTGTGACATCATGTGATAGCTCTCTGATGAAGGACATTGAGATCCATGATGGATCAAAGTGACATTAGATTTATTTATGTTACTGAGAAAGGAACATGATTTAAACTGTCTTTTATTTCTGAATTTATTTTAATAACAAAAGATGCTGCGAAATTGCCACTGTGGGGCATGTGCCTAAAGGGATACTAGGAGACATTGGCAGTGCCATTCCCCAAAGATTGGATGGCAAAGAGGAAAAGTGGTGCATTATCATCCCTGTCAAGAAATAATTTGCAAGGTAAATCTAATGGAAAACCTGGTTATGGTGGCATATGTTTGTAATCCTAGGAACTGAAATGTTAAGGCAGGAGCATTACTTCAAGATCAGACTGGACAACGAAGTGATTCCAAGATTAGCCTGAACTACAAAGTGAGCCCAAGGCCAGCCTGAACTCCACAAGACCATTTCAAAGACAAAAAATATTAATGCTACAATTCTCCTGTTTTAATTGATGCTCTTGGGATTATCATCTTATTTATTGCACACTGGTGACTCTGTCTTTCTGGTGTCATGATATGACATCATTTCCATCACTCACTATTCCATGGGAATCATATTCCATGCATTTTTCTTTGAACCCTAGGAACTTGTGTGAAATCCTGATTCACTTGCATAGTCAGGATTCTGCTATTTATTATAAATGACTGACTTAATTTAAGAGGCATGGTGCTTACATTTGTATAAAAACTATATGATGTGTAATAGGCAGTAGGAGCATACATCTTTGAAAAATGGAGAGGAGCAAGAACTACAGGAAAATCATAAATAAGGGCTGTTAAGGCAACAATAAAGAACTCAGACCCATTATACACATTGATGCCTTCCAAAGATGAATGCTTATATTAGGTACTAGAAATAGGCATTTAATGCAATTAAACACATTTAAATTTGACTTTGAATTTGTCATCTTATCATAAGCATACATACGTAGATGCAGGTAGTAAAATCTGGTGAAGGACACTTCAGAATGTGTTGGTGAAGATGTTTCTAGAAAAAATAATGAGACAGAGCCAAATGAAAAAGAATGTTTGTTAGAATGATAGGTGTGATCTATGAAGACTGTCAGAGAGTCAAAAATGCAGGGAAAATTTTTTGGAATCTTTGAATTATCTTTTATAAGTGTGTTTTTTTAATAGTAAGAATACAAAAAATAGATCAGTTAGACATGTGTGTTAGTGAAACACAAAATGAATATGCTTTGGGATATTTCCATCTTTAAGAGTGATTTCTGGACAATCTATGAATATATATTGACATCAGTTTTTCAAAGATATTTCTATAGGTCTGGACTATATGAGAAATTTGCAAAGTATTTTAAAATTGTCACTTACATATGTACAATTTCTCTTCATACTGATGACTTACAATTATTTGATCATACTCACGTACACTGAGTGCTTTCTCACATGGTACACATAGGCTTTGGCCACACTATGGGCATCTCTGTCAATGAAAACTTTTTCTCAATACACCTTTTTCACACAGTTACTGCCCAGTGTGTGGGAAATTTAGCATTATAAAATGAAAAATTTGCAAGAAATACTTCTCACATTGACTGCATACATGGGGTTTCTCCTTTGTGTGTATTATTTCCTTATGTGATGGGACTATTTTGCACTGAATGGTTTTCTTCATTGTTGGACTCCACAGGATTACTTCCCTGGGTGAATTTTTTCACATTGTTACAATCACTGGTGTTGGAAACATTTGCTGCATTGCTTACATTCATACAGGTCCCCCCCCCCAATGTTGGTTTTTTCATGTGTTTGTCAGTGACTATGTGGAGCAAAGGTTTTCCCAGATTGCTTAAGCAGAGTTTCTTCCCATGGTGAATTCTTTGATGTATTTGCAAGCTATGGGTTTGCCTGGTAGAGTATGCACACTGCTTACATATGAAAGATTTGCCTATGTGGGATCTTCTTTGTCTAGAAAATGTGGATTATTGGGGCTGGGGATTTAGCTCAGCAGCATAAGCAACTGCCTTACAAGCAGGCAGTCATGAGTTTGATCCCTGGTACCAATAAAGAAAAAAAAAAGGGAAAGATGGATTATCAGCAAAGGCTTTTTAATAGGTCTTACATAAGATTCCTCTCAAGTATGAATTATTTTATGGACACAATTGACACCCTGATTTTCCACATTGTTTACCTACATAGGGTTACTCCCTACTGAGTTCTGTCATGCACCTTCGAACCTGTTTGTGTACTAAACATTTTTCCACATTACATAAGTAAGATTTCTCCCTAATTTTAGTTCATTGTTTCTGACAGTGACTGAGTCTGCTTTTACTTTTGTGATGGCATATCTTACCATAAGCATTGTCTACATAGATACAGACCATGAGTACAACATTTCTGATTGTGTATGTGTAGACCCTTAATAAACTGATGCAGGCTATATGGATTCTGGTGGGAAAAAGTGTCATGAGATAAGTGGGTGTCATCCATCAAGATAAGACATTGGTGGAATAAAACCATGAGAAAATAGATTCAGCATACTTAAATTTTCTTTAAAAACTAATTTTTATTAAGACTACTGACAAATAGATCACTTATATATGATTTATAAAAAAGAAATGAAAACATTTTAGGACATCTTTATGTTTGAGTGTTTTTAAAAAATCTATGAACACATATTGAAAACAATAATTTTATATTAATTTCCATGTCTCCTCTACATGAGTAATTTTCAAGCCACTTATATATGATTTCACTGAACTATCATTACTTTTGCACATTTGACAATAAATGTGAATATTGAATGCTTTCCCACAATGCAAATATAGGCTCGGGAACCAATATGACATCACTCAGGTTAGTAGCTGTCTGTTGAACATTTACCAAATATTTCTCAATGCAGTTACACCCCAATGTGAGAGAAATTTTGTTTGCAAAAGGGAAACATTGAAGCAAATCTTTTCCACACTGCCTACATACTTAGGGTTTCTTCCTTCTGTGCATTATTCCCCTATTCAATGGCATTTTTGTGCACTGACTGGAATCCACCATTGTTCAAAGCAAAGAATTACTACACAGAGGGAGTCCTTTCATGTAGTGACAATTTGTCTCTGCAAATTTGTCCTACATTTCCTTATGTACATAGGTTTTCTTCCCAATGTGGGAACTTTTATGTTTATAAAGTGAGAATTTATCAACAAATCCATTTGTTTCTCACATAGGTAGGGTCTTTCTGCAGAATGAATTCTTTTATATACACAAAAGCTACTACTACAGCTGAAAACATCCCAAATTGCTTACGCAGATAGGGTTTATTTTCAGTACTTTTCCATACTGAATGCTTTGTCACATTGTATCATTAGAGGTTCTACCGAGTGTGAATTCTTTCATGTACAATAAGGTTACCCTTGTGACTGAAAGATTTCCCACACTGCTTACAAACAAAAGGTTTCTCCCCAGTGTGAATTCTATCATGTACTTTACATCCTGAGGCACTATTGAATGCTTTCCCACATTTGTTGCACACATAAGGTTTTTCCCCTCTGTGAAATCTTTCATGTATAATGAGGTTACCACTGCTACTGTAAGATTTTCCACATAGTGTGCATAAGTAAGGTTTCTCCCCAGTGTGAATTCTATAGTGTATCTTACAATCTGATGCTCTCCTGAATCTTTTTCCACATTTGTTACATGCATAGGGTTTCTCCCCAGTGTGAATTTTAATATGTGTGTTACAACCTGAGGCTGTCCTGAATGTTTTTCCACATTTGTTGCATACATAGGGTTTCTCCCCAGTGTGAATTCTATAGTGTCTGTTACAATCTGAGGCTCTCCTGAATCTTTTTCCACATTTGTTGCATGCATAGGGTTTCTCCCCAGTGTGAATTTTAACATGTGTATTACAATAGGAGGCTGTCCTGAATCTTTTTCCACATTTGTTGCATGCATAGGGTTTCTCCCCTGTGTGAATTCTATAGTGTATCTTACAATATGAGTCTTTCATGAATCTTTTTCCACATTTGTTGCATGCATAGGGTTTCTCCCCAGTGTGAATTCTTTCATGTATGTTACATTCTGAGGCTGTGCTGAATCTTTTTCCACATTTATTGCATACATAGGGTTTCTCCCCAGTATGAATTCTTTCATGTATGTTACATTCTGAGGCTGTGTTGAATCTTTTTCCACATTTGTTGCATACATAGGGTTTCTCCCCAGTGTGAATTCTTTCATGTCTTTGACAGCTACTGCGTGTACTGAATGCTTTCCCACACTGATGGCATTCATATGTTTGCTTTCCAGCATGAAGTTGTTTATAGTTTTTAAAGCAATTACTGTGAGATAGTGCTTTTGCACATTTCTCAGTTATATTGTGTTTCTCTCTAGCATATTTTCTAACATCTTTTTCAATATGGTATGAAGAAATTAAAAAATTTTCATAGTGATTTTGTAGATATGAGCTCCCTGAACTGTGACTTCTATCACAGATTTGAACACTGGTAAGTGCTGCACAGGCTTTCAAACTTTTCTTACATAGAAAGGATTTCTGCCCAGGATAAGTTTGTTCACTAAGGTCAGAGCTGTCCTCCCCACACTGCCCACTTTGACAGGGTCTCTCTGCAGTCTTCCTCATTTCATGCTTCTGAAAGGACTGGAAATCATTGCAGGTTACTATAACTTCATTATATTTATATTGCTGCTCTCCAATTGTCAAGTAATTTTCTTCATCATATCTACAAAGAAATACAAAGTAAAATATCAGTCACAATTGAAAGCTCTGCATATTAATAATTGAGATTTAAAATGACAAGTTTGGTTTGATGCCTGATAAGTAATTCTGATTATTAACTGACTCACTGTCCTGTAGGATTTCTTTGAAAGTACAATTCATTCAAAAAAAGGATGATTTTCTTTTGGTAATTTTAAATTGATATATGACTCCAATATATTATATTGGTTTAGGAGACTGTTACAAATGACTACCAAATATTGATCCATGTTTTAGCGCTTCAGGTCTTCATTCTCCCCCTTGTCTATTTAGCCTGATCATCTTTCTCATCTACAGAAAGTAAGGCTTTCTGGTCACATATTATCTCTCTGAGAGTCTTATTGACAATGAACTTGCTCAGGCTGAACTTTTAGTTGTCATCCTGCTGATTCCACCTTTACAATGTTGAGATTGCAAGGATGCACCACCATGATGAGCTGACTTCTCATGTTCTTTACTCAGGAATCCTGTGATGGGCATCTGGGTTCTTCTCAGAGTTGATCTATTGTAAGTTGATTCTTGTATTAGATAATGCCCTCTCATATGCACCACTGAACAATACACTGTGTTGATCACTAACATTTGATAATTTTAATGTATTTGACAATATTATGAGAAAGTCAATGCACGTAATGACACAGTACAACCCTCTTAACAGTAAGAAGGTAGAGCCAGGAGGATCAGTCTGAATTTGGCCAGTATGGGCTGTACAATAAGTTCAAAGTCAATCTGAACTACAATATAAAATCATGGTTTAAAATTAAAAAAGCAATAGAAGTATACACCAATGGAGGTACATGTGAGACAATATGAAACATATTATTTTATTTTTCAAACCTCTGAATATTCATTACCCTGTTTCTGTTTTATGTATCCGTCAACAATGCATGACGAATTTTAAACACAACAGCTCAACATTCTACAGGATATTATGAAATAATACTTATTATAACACAAACATTCATTTGCATTTTGAATACTGATTCTATGTGAAAAATTTGTAGATCAAGTTCTTAGTATTCATATATATATATATATATATATATATATATATATATGGATATTTTGAAGATGAGTTTCTTTCAAAATTCACAATTTGTACATATCCTACATATCAGAAAACAATATTTAAATTTACTCTCCTACATTTCCGTGATGTAGATCATGAAGGCAATTTTTAAACTGATGTTTTAGATAGTGCATTTTGTTACACAGTAAAAGCATTGCCTCTGATTCCTACATTCAAATACTTTTCTATGGATTCCCAGATAATACAAAATAAAATCAAGTGTCTCCTTTGGTATTTTTGGAGTTTAAATAAAGTGAAACATGATCTCACGGCTTCAAGTTCCTTTTTGTAATATTTATGCACCCACACTGACACTTAAGGATGTTCCCTTTATCTTACATGTGTCAATCACCTTAGATTTCTTGAAAAAGTTTTGTCCTCTTCTTTAATTTTCTGATTATGCCATATTCTTCCTATATCACACATACAGAAATAAAAAAATTCACTGTAACATTAAATTAAAACATCAATGGTTCCACTTATACTCATGGTATAATATAATCAGTTCTGAGATATATAAGCAAATGTTGTAATTATCAAACATATTTAACTATATCACTGAGCAATAATTAATACTGTTTTTATAAATAAATAAAACATATCAACCTTACCTGTCATCATAATATTCATATATATTTCCCACATCACACCTATGTAGAGCTTCTTTTGGAATGGAGTCAGCAAATCCCACTCTTCTGCGGTGAAGTTCACAGCTACATCCTCAAAGGTCACTGTCTCCTAAATAATGATAAGTGTCCTGAAGTTCAGGTACATGCAACCTGATATATCTCAGCTTCTGTCATAAACAGTCTAACTGAAGTTCATTCTTTAAGTATTGACTACATGTCATGGTAATCAAAATTCAAGTACAATCAAATATAGTCACTCAGTAACACTGATGCTAGACTACAACACATTGTCAAAGCAATCACAGGGCTGTGGCATGGTTTTCCTTCAGGGTAACCTACACTGAAGTTTTTCACTGACTTTAAAACAGAGCTCAAAGAGCTCAAAGAGGGAGTCTGCAAACCACCATTCTTAAAACACTTGGTTATTTATAACACTGACTTCATCTTTCTTTCTAGAATCAGTGCCACCCAGGTATGACTTTCTGCATAACTTTCCATTGAATCTATCCTCATCAGTGTCTACATAATTGCCACTGCTCTCTAGGTGGTGACAGTATTTGCCCATTGCTAGGTTTCTAGCTATTATTGAGCTCCCACAGCTATGTTTCAGTCCCTTTAATCTGAGCTGTACTCCTGAGAAATGTGACCTGCTCTTCTGATAGGCTGAGCTCTTCTCCTTTTGGTGAACATGGCATTGCATGACTGTCAGCTGTGGATTTGTTACACTGATGTTTGCAACTGTAGTTTGCTTATCAGTACCTAATATGGATACTGTCTCATCATTTCATGTTTGAAGACAGATAAACAGATAGGAAGCTGTAAGTACCTGTATTGGAATTTATTGTTTTAATCATTTAAAGAAAATCTTATTCTCAAAAACTTTGGTTTAGATTTATTGATAACGTTGAACTGTCTCACATGTATTCAGAAAGTTTCACCACTGGGTCAGGTGATAAAATCCTTTCAGCTCAGATGGTATTATTACATGATTGATGACAACTCTGCTTTCAAAATTTTCCAAAGTTTACTATGTGTGCTTTTTCATGGAGACTGTTCTTTTAGCTTATTCCCTTTAAGATTTCAGGAACTACATTAGAAATTGCACAGAGTAATATTTTGTGATGTTTTGTGGTGTTTCTCAATTTACTCATTTCTCACGTTGTTCATGAGGGCTGGGGTGTGAATCAAGGCCAAACTACTTTCTCAAACAGTATTTGGTTACAGTTTCTGACTTTAATTTCACTTCAAAAAAATCCCATATATTCCCAGGAATTGTAGCACACAGTATTTTCTAGACATTAGAAAGAAATCACTTGTCTGTGGATTTTCATAAACTCCATAGTAAAGGAGTTTGTGGCATGTAAAGTCTGTATGTTGTGTTCCATATAAATGTTTTTTGTTTCAGTTCAATCTTTATAGATTTCAATTTCTTCTGATTTTCATGGCTGATTTTCTTCTGAGAAGAGTTTTTCATTAACTGAGTGGTTTTTTTTTTAGTAGAAATTGCACATTCATACATGTTTGTCTTGCCAATTTCAATGGATCATCAATGCACCCAGGTGAGGAGATTGTACAGGCCAGATTTCTAGGGACATACCTTTTTGTCTCTGAATGTAAGTGAAACAGATTGTGCTTTCTTCCCAATTTTCAAGCTGAAATGTGAAACAGTGTTCTACTTTAATGTGGATGCATAGAAGATTGTTTCCCTTTCCTGAGATACATGTGTCCACTAATATGAATGTGGAACTTCAAATGTTTTTCATATTTATTATGCAAAATATTTCTTTCCTCACAAGTATTGAATGTTTGTAGATTTTTTCTAACTTCTACAATTGTTGAACAAGTCAGAGGGGTGTTTACCTTGTTTCTTTTTGGTATTAAAACTTAAACTCAGGCTCTTGTACACATCAGCCTAGTGCTTGTACCACCAAGATAATATCCCTGGTACAAAAGTGTGATTTGTAAATGACTGAATTAATGTTAATTTTTACTTGGTGATGGAGTTTGATGAATGGCCTCACTTTGTAGTCTGAACTGTCCTTATTACATAGCCCAGACTGGACACTACACATGGCATTGCTGAAATTCCTGGTAATCCTCTTACACCAGCCTCTCAAGTTCAGGGAAAACAGGCCTGTGCTACCCCAGTGGGCTGAACTCTTCCTTCTGTATTTAGTGACCAGTTACTTTGCTATACCTCCGTTTTCATTGCATTTCCAAAATACTCTTTCCCACATTGTCTTCCTTTACACCCAAGTAGAATTTCTAGTATTCAAGTACAAGGAGATAATTTGGTGTTCCTGGGCTACAGGTTTCCTACTAACTTTCCCTAATTTCCTTATCTAAAGACTGGTCAAATAAACCTTTATTTTCATTAAATTTTAGTAATTCATAAACATTCTTTCATATTCAACTAAACATCTGAAGCTACAATCTACTGAAGCTACATTAGACTGACTATATTACATCTGTATAATCAGCAGCTCTTTAAACACAAAAAGCATTGCTTAATACATATCCCATCATACAAAGCAACCAACTACATAAACAGAAACAGGATAGGAAGAGAAAAATCAGTCATTTACAAGTGTATATTTAAGAATTCAAAAGAACCCCATCAGTGACTGACAGCTCAAGGCAGAGCAGTCTTTAAATTTACACATAAAATCAACAAGATAACAACTCAAAGAAACATATCAGATGGATTCTATCAAATGTTTTATCACAGAAATACATAGCACACTGTCTTCACAACAAGCCAAGAAGTATTCACACCAGTGGCCCAGGTTCAGCGCAACAATACAAAATGCACAGTAGTCATTGGAGTGGAAGTCATGCAAAGAAGGCTCTTCTTACACAACAGTGGATGAAATTAGAAATGAAAAGCAGGAGAAATGTAAGAATACTCTGAGAATGGGTGATCAAGTCATAAAATTTAAATGACATTTTTCAAAAAAAGAACTTAAATAATTAAGGATTTCACAATCCATGACAAGCAATGTACATTTTGAATTATATTAGTTATTCAAAATTGGTGACTCAAAATCTATTAAAAACAATGAATGTTAGGTAATGGAAAAGAACAAAGACTTCAATTTCAGAACATTAGAGAACACAGGGGAGAGGGAAGCTCATCAGTGAGACTGAGACCTGAGTTCATGGCATCACTCTGCATCACAGTCATTGGGAAGTCTGAGATTAGGGCCAGCAGAGCACAAAAGTGGCCCATTCCTGGGCCACCAGGAGCTGAGTTCCCAGCAAGAATTAGAGAAAGCTGCTACAATACAAAAATGTTAAACCACCTCAAAGAAAACAGGATATTTCATTGCTCTATATTTGTACACATTCTAAAGATCAAGAGAGTGGAAACTTTTAAAAGTATTAGAGGCATTATTCGATAATTAATGTAACTAAATACATTAATATCCAAAGGAAAAACATTCTACATTTAGTGGACACAGAAAGACAACAGAAACAAAATAAAATTAGCAGAGAATAAGTTGGAAGGAATACAAATGGATTCACTTTCAAATAACAGTGTATATAGTGAAAAGCTGAAGTTCCAACAAATATTTAATAGAATTTATAAAATAATGTACCACAGACAACATCTTTGGATTGAAATACAGATATGTGCCATCTAAATATGTGTCACATTTAAACAAGTAGATTGAAACTATGAGCATTATATCACATGCAATTCACACTGACATAATTTCAAAAATGTGAAAACCACATATGAGACAGCTTTAAAAACACATGGTGTGTCACTTAGCATGTCCTTTTCAGCAAAGTCCAGTAACTAACAATGAATTATAATTATTACTGGACCAATGGTGCTTCACTCTCTGCACTCAAGAAAAAGAATTCTTTTACAAGGCCAGAGATATAGCTCAAAAGCGCAGTGCCCCCCTCGCAATCTGAGACTGTAAGTTTGATTCCCAGTTTAAAAAAATTGCCATGTACATGTTAATTCCCTACTTCAAAGTGATCAATTTGTGGGTTTCACATGAAGCCCGTTAGCAAGTTGTCCTTTACAGCATTATTTCCCCTTCTGTTATTTAAATTCCTATCATAAGATCCAACTTTTAGCACTATAATATATAGAATCAAAGATATTCAACACTTTATTCATTTATCACATGACTGTAGATATAAGACAGTAGTTTACACATGCCTACAAGGGTGATAACAATTATTTTCATCATACCCAATGTTAAAATATACTTTAAGTTTATATTGGTTAAACTTTTATAAACAGTATTATGACATTATTTAAACAACCTAAAATGACTTTCTAATTCTGAGCCTGTGTTTGTTAATTTTGGAATGTGACATCAAGACAATGAAGCTCAATGTGGAGGATACAGTTTATCTCTTTCAGAACTCGTATTTAAATTCTCATTTAATTTAGCATAGTCCCATGTCTCTGGCACTTCCGATGACTGTGACAATATCCAACAATATCACCTGACTTTATGCTTTATCCCAAGGGAATCCAGATTCATGAAAACTAATCCTAGCAGGAGGGCAGAATGAAAGCTGCATGCAGCCCCACCTTCAATCCCTTCCCAGTGAGGAGGCAAGGACTCAGCATGGTAAGTTTTCCATAATATCCCTTTCCTTCTCAAGGGGTGAAAGTTAATCTACTGTGGCTTTTTAATCTTTGCCAAGTAAAGTACTCAACTTGACACCTTTGATGCTTAGAATTCTACTGTCACATTTTGTGAGTTTGATAACATCTAGGTTTTAGGAAAGACATGTCTGGATGTGGATTCATGTGGGAAGGAAGCATGACCTATGAGATTACAACTGGTGCATGGCTCCTGCCTCTCATGCTCTGTATCTGCTGAAGAGTGTCTACTGGAACACTGATGATTTGATTCTTACAGCATGAGCAAACCCAAGGCCAATATCTTAAAGCAATGGCAAACATCTGTGCTCAGACACAGAAAAATAAGAGTCTTGTTTTCCCCTTATTATTCGACCTAGCTGGTGTTGGTTGGTATCAAGCACATACAAAGTGAGTTATTTGCCATGTGCTATAAACCAGTTATCCACAAAGAAGTGCGGAGCTTTAAAAAAGGATGCGGAGATTCATACTCATCA